AAATTTAGATAGATATTCCTCTATTTATTAATTTTTAAAGATTTCTAGAATAATAGAGATTATTTAATAAGCTTAATAAGTCTTCTTATAGATATATCTGAATTTCGGGTTCTTACAGGCTTGCCAAAAGTAGTTTAGTATATCTGGATTAGATAACTATATTAAATTTTAGAGGTCTTTATTAATATATTAACAATACTAAAAGTTATGGTTTCTATTATTCTTTTCTGACTTACAGAGGCAGGATTGGCTATATAATCTTCTCTTTCAGGGCTTTGTTTATATATTTCTATCTTTGGTAGTTTATTTACCACCTTAGTCTAATTTATTACTTTAGTCCTGGAAGGTGGCATGGCTTACCCTATTTTATTTATTAATAGATTATCTGTTCTAGTAATTTAACTGAATCCAGTCATATATCTTGCAGATTAGTTTAAGGAATTCAGGGATTTCTTTCTAACTATTTTTAATTTTAATAAGCCTGGACTACTATATTAATACAAAGGTGCCTATTATTTTATAAATTAATTTAAGAAAGTTAAAAAATACTCTAATTAGCTTCTTAATCTTACTAATTTAAAGCTCTACTACTTTAGAATATATTAATTCCTATTAACTAATATAGCTTTTAATAAAATCCTTTATTAAGATCCTGAGATAGTAATATTAATTTATAAGATCTTACTTCCTTAATTAGTTGATTAGTACTAAGTAGTTTTATAGGACTTAAAGGATTTAATAGGGCTTTTCCAAATTAAGTATAGTATACTAATTTTACTTACTTAATATAGAATTAATTAATAGACTTAATAAGACTAGTCCTGAAGTAGTTTTATTAAATTCCTTAAGATTCTAGTAGTAGTTCTACTTAGCTTCCTAATATAGTAGATAATCTGATTTATTTAAGTTGATTATTAAATTTACTAATAATTTTATCTATTTTATACTAATAGTACTAGACTGTATTAGGTAGATAGACTTAGTTAGTAGTTCCAGGTTTACTAATTCCTATATCCCTTTATTAATTACAAATAGTCGAATTTAATTAATCTATAGAATCCAGTCATATAACTAATTCAATTATAGGATTCTATTAGATTACTGAATAATCTAATTATTTATATTAAATAGAACTGACTATAGTCTATTTAATTAACAGAAGGATTAAATAAATTAAAATAAGAGGTCTTCTGGGCTTATAACTATTAAAGTTTTAGTTCTTTTCAAATAGAATTAATTAGGGTTTTATTTAACTTTCACTTTTCTATATAAACTAAGTATAGAAGTAAAGTCAAAGTAAGATTAAAGTTAAAGATAATTAAAATCAAAAGAATCAAAGATAGAATAAATAAGAAAATAAACAAGCTACTGATTTTAATATATATCTGGTTAACTGGTTCAGGATGATTTAGGATTATCCTCAGGAAATCATTGAACAAATCAGGCTATTTAAGCCAAAATCCTTTGTTTATTGATTTCCTAATTAGGAAATCAAAATATTCAGAATGCAGGGGTGAGAATCCAGGGTGAGAATGCAGGGGTAAATTAGCCAGGGATGGATTGGGCTGGAACAATGGTTCAAATGGCTCAATCCAGGGATTAGGGCTAGGGTTTAGTAGTCAGGTGA